CATCTTCTATTCAGGTGAGCTGCACTCTGCATAGGTGGCTGCCAGAAGAGGTGCTTTTACAAGGTAGAAACCAAGTGGCCTGCATTGTACAACTGGACAGTGAGGAAAATATTTCTATGTCACTCCTATCTTATAAAATTTTTCAAAAAGTACACTTTAATCTTAGGTCTTTAAGGACCTTCATATGCCATTCTGATTTTAAGAGATATTCTGTAGACTAAATATTAATCTAGGAGGAACCACTATCTTTATTGTATATGCTACTACTCATACTATCCATTCACACAGTACAAACTGAAGGTAATTTTAACTCTTGCTTTATTTTGATTTTTGTTCTTCCAAATAAGGAAAAGTGCTCAGTAAAGGTCTTTAGAACAAAGGACAGAATACATTTGGTTTTCAGACTCATCAAGAAAAAAAAAAGATGTCTCAAATAAATCAGAAATTAAGGAGATAAATAATTGACATCAGAGAAATACAAAGGATTATAAGAAAAAATACAAATAAGCATGTATTAATAAATGGGCAATGTGGAAGAAATGGGTAAATTCCTCAAAACAAACAACCTTCCAAGACTGAATCAAGAAGAAATGGAAAATCTGAACAGACTGATGACTACCAAAGAAATCAAATCAATAATGAAAAAAACTCCCAACAAACTAAAGTCCTGGACCAGATGCCTTCTCGGGTGAAATTTACCAAACCTCAAAGATGAGTTAACATCTATCCTTCTCAAACTACTCAAAAACATGGCCGAGACCGGTTTGGCTCAATGGAAAGAGCGTCGGCTTGGGGACTGAAGGGACCCGGGTTCGATTCCGGTCAAGGGCATGTACCTTAGTTGTGGGCATATCCCCAGTAGGGGGTGTGCAAGAGGCAGCTGATCGATGACTCTCTCTCATCAATGTTTCTAACTCTCTATCTCTCTCACTTCCTCTCTGTACAAAATCAATAAAATATATTAAAAAAAAAAAAAAACTACTCAAAAACAATTCAAGTGAAAGGAAGGCTCCCAAAATCATCTTATGAGGTCACCATTACCCTGATTCCAAAACCGTACAAAGATCCTATATAATAAAAGCTTCATATGATAAGTGTCTGATCATCTGGTTGGCTATTCAACCAAAGTGTATATGCTAATGATATGCTAAGGCCCCTCAACCGCTCACTATGACATGTACTGACCACCAGAGGGCAGACACTCTGAACGGTAGGAGTTGCTGGGGTCTGGTGGATCGGGACTGAGCAACATGGGCCGGACCCACCCTGGAGTACTTCCATGGTCCCTCCCCGCCCTGATATGCATGGGTGGGGTCCCTCGGCCTGGCCTGTGCCCTCTCACAATTTGGGACCCCCTCAGAGGATGTCAGAGAGCAGTTTCAGCCCAATCCCACATGCCAGGCCGAGGAACCCCACTGGTGCATAAATTCATATACCGGGCCTCTACTATTACAAAAAAAGAAAATTATAGGCCAATATCCCTGGTGAAGATAAATTATAAAAATCCTCAACAAAATATTAGCAAACCAAATTCAGCAATATATTTAAAAGATCATACATCATGATTATGTGAGATTTATTCATGGGATGCAAGTTTGGTTCAATATCTACAAATCAATTAACGTATACTCCCCCTAAACAAAATGAAAGATAAAAAGCACATGATTATATCAATAGAAGCAGAAAAAGCATTTGACAAAATTCAGTATTCATTTATGATAAAGACTCTCAGCCAAGTGGGGACAAAAAAAGGCCATATATAACAAACCCACAGTTAACGTGATACTCAAAGGAAAAGCTAAAAGCTTTTACCTTAAGATCAGGAACAAGAAAAGGATGTCCACTTTCACCATTTTTATTCAACATAGTATTGGAAGTCCTAGTCACAGCAATCAGACAATAAAAAATAAAAAATAAAAGGCATCCCATAATACCCAAAACACTAATTTTAAAAGAAGTATGTGCATTATGTTCATTGCAGCATTATTTACATTAGCAAACCAAAGTGCTTATAGGGTGCAACAGATGATTAGATAAAGAAGATATGGTACATATATACAAATGAATTTTACTCAGCCATAAAAAAGAAATCTGACCATTTGTGAGATTGAGCTAGAGGATATAATGCTAAGTGAAATAAATCAGACAGAGAAACACATGTGACTTCAGTTATATATAGAATCTAAAGAATATAATACACAAAACAAAAACAGCCTCAGATACTGAGAACAAACTGATGGTTGCCAGATGGGAGGGGGGTTTTGGTTTAGGTGACAAGGGTGAAGGGATTAAGAAGTACAAATTGGTAATTACAAAATAGTCACAGAGATGTAAAGTACTGCATAGGAAATATAGCCAAGAACATTGTAATAACTGCGTATGGTGCCAGGTGGGTACTAGACTTTATTGATTATATAAATGTCTAACCACAATACTGTACACCTGAAACTAATATAAAATGATACCAATTGTTGCCCTAGCTGGTTTGGCTCAGTGGATAGGGCATCAGACTGTGGACTGAAGGGTCCCAGGTTTGATTCTGGTCAAGGGTTCGTGCCTGGGTTGCAGGCTCAATTCCCAGTAGGGGGTGTGCAGGAGGCAGCAATCAATGATTCTCTCTCGTCATTGATGTTTCCATCTCTCCCTCTCCCTTCCTCTCTGAAATCAATAAAAATATATTTTAAAATAATAATAATACTTTGAGAAATAAAAAGTAATATATACGTGTGTGTATATATGGCATATATATATATATATATATATATATATATATATATATATTACTACACATTTGGTTTACACTCAGCTGTAGACCTGAGGCAAAAATATTTTGCAGAAGCAAATCTTTAACATGTTCAGATATTCACATATAAATATTCTTTTTTTTTAATATATTTTTATTGATTTTGTACAGAGAGGAAGGGAGAGAGACAGAGAGTTAGAAACATCGATGAGAGTCATCAATCAGCTGCCTCTTGCACATCCTCTACCGGGGATATGCCCGCAACCAAGGTACATGCCCTTGACCGGAACCAAAACCGGGGCCTCTCAGTCCCCAAGCCGACGCTCTATCCATTGAGCCAAACCGGTTTCGGCCACATATAAATATTCTTAATCTTTATTGGATTGTGGTAAATTTCTACAAACTACTATTATTAATATTGCATTTTTTATGTGAGTTACCCTGAAGCCTCTTAGTTTAACTCATTAGAATTTTCTGAGGATTGAAACACATGCAAATGAGGTTCACAATTAAAAACTTGTAAAACTCACAACCTAAGCTCACCACAAGCAAGCAAAAAAGAAATACAGGAATATTTGTAAGCATTTACCACACATAGCCAGTTCTTAATGTAAAGATGTTGTCCCTGCTTTTAAAAGCATAGGTTTTCTCAAAGAAATGCCAACACAACAGTTTAGCCTAATTTGGAAATAAACGGCAGCATAGAGGAACAACTTTCAAACCCCTACTGAAGGTACAAGCACATGCTTATTATTATTGGTCATGCCAGCTCCATTTTCTGCAGTCATAATTAACCCTTCCATAGTTCATGTACACTCTATGGCAAAAAGTAGAACTTAACAGATTTTTTTCAAGTTAATGATTCAGGCAATTCTTGGAATAACTTCCACTTGAGAAAATGTAACTAAGAGATCCTATCAAGAGACTACCCAGCTGTTGACAGCTCAACTCTGGAAATTCCCTCCTTTTTTGCCTATTCCCGACTGTCCCTAAATCCAAATTACAAAGTTTAATGACCCTGAAGAGCCCTGTTTGCCTCCACTGAGCTCAGAATTCTAACTATTCATTGGGACTCTCCATAGATGTTTGTTGAATTAAAGGGAGAAAAAAAGGGCACTGGAAACCTAGCTCCAAAAGCCCAGTGCTTGTTCGCCTGAAGGAACCGCTTTCCCCACAAGAGGAAACGGGAGATCTGGAGCTGAGAGTCCCTCCTGAACCCAGGGGGCCTGACCCTGGGCTCAGAGGTGATGACAGCCAGGTTTGGGCAGCGGTTCCCGAACGGGCACTGGGAACTGGTGGGCTGGGCGCTGGCCAAGATGGAAACACTCCCTCAGGGAGCTGAGCCGGATGGTAGGAAACCAAGTCAGTTCTGTCGGGATCCCAAGGCCCCAGTCGCGTTCCACCGCCCCATTCCAGTTTATAGATGCCAGCACAGGAACTCCAACGACCAAAGAGAAAGCAGAAGTCTCAGAAATATGTCAACACATGACATAACTTGAAAAAGCTGGCTGCTCATTGGCGCGAGTTATAACTTGCCTGGCTCACACAGGAAAACAGGCTCGCTTTAATTACTTTTCTTTTAATATGCTCTGCAGTCCTTCCAGGGCCCCGCCAAGATCGCGTTACAGAAACCTAGGCGGCTCGGGCGGTGGGAACCGCACCGCGGGCGGCTCGCTGAGGGTCGAAATCAGAGCCGACCCGCCGCGCGGGGGCCGCGGGTTCGGATTCACGGCAATCGCGGCGGCTCTGCCGGCGCATCCGCAGGAAGAGGAAGCCCAGCGCCTCCGCCCGCAGGCTCCCGGCGGCCCGGCCAGAGGCCCGCGGCCCCGCGCGACGTCCGCGGGTCGGCGAGGGCGGCCACCTTTGTCTGGGCTTCCCCGCCGGGAGGGCGACGCCTCCCCGCCCGCAGGGCTCGCCCGGCTCCCGGACGCGGACGCGGCGCTCGGGTTCCCGGCTCCAGCGCCGAGCCCCCTCCGCCCCCACTGCGCCTCCGCCCCCCTGCGCCTCCGCACTGCACCCCAAGCCCAGCCTGGCGACCGCGGCCCTGGCGCGGCCGCCCCGGTGGGGAAGCCGGCGACCAAAAAGCAAGCCGACTCCCCGGGTGCTCCGCCCGCCGCCGGGCAGGGCGGGGTCCCCGCGCCCCGTCCTCGGAGGAGCCCCGGCGCGGACCCCCGCGAGGCGGCAGCTCCGTCGGCGCCGGTCCGGGAGGCATGACAGCAGGCGGCACCCACCCGCCGGCCGCCCCGGCCTCGCTCACCTGCCCGCACCGTGTCCGAGAGGTCGTGGCCGGGCGCCGCGGTCCGGGGGAACTCCTTCAGTTTCCGGGCGCTGAGGTTCAGGCCCCCCGAGTGCGCCGCTTCCTCCAGCGCGCGCTCCAGCCCCCGGGCCAAGGGCAGGTTGAAGCCGCCGCCGCCCGCAGCCCCGCCGCCGGCCCCGGGCCCTCCGAGGTGCTGGTGGTGCGGGTGGTGGTGCGGGTGGTGGGGATGGTGGGGATGGTGGTGGGGGTGAAGAGTAGACGCCGAGAGGGCAGGGACGAAAGGTTGGGGTTCGCTTCCCGGCGTCGCCATCTTCACACGGCCCCCGCCCCCACCCGCTCGCCGCTCAGCGGGGGGCCGCGGCTTCGCCCCGAGACCGGAGGCGCCGGTGCCGAGTCCCCGCGGGGTCCGCGCCCGGAGCCGGGGAGCGGGAGGCGGCGCGGCGGGCGCAGAGCCCGACGGACAGAGCGGCGGCGGCGGCCCGGCGGTTCCTGTCCCGGGGAGGCGGCGGCGGCGGCGGCGCGCATGTGTCTCCGCCCCCGGCGCCCTCCCGCCTCCCGCTGCTCCCTCCCCCGCCCGAGCTGTCAGCGCGGCCCGAGACTTCCCACCGGCGGGCCGGCCCCGCTGCTCCCGCCCCGCAGTCCCGGGCCGGAGGAGTGTGAGCGCCTGTGCAGGTCATTGTCATCGTCACTTTTCTTTTCGCCGCCCCGTCGCTGTGTCGGGGTAGGGGACAAAAAATGTTAGAGGTCTGAGAGGACCGGGACCGGCAATGAATGTGCATTGAAATTCAGTGAGGTCACGGGGAGCTGGGAGGTTATCTGAGTTGTGCGAATTATTCCGGCTCTTTGACCCAGAGTCTATCCGGAGACCGTTTTCCACGGCGCTGTTAGGCCAACAGGCAACCCCTGGCATTTGAGTTCCTACAGTGAGCCAGGCCCTGGTATAGGTGGTCTACATCTCATTAATTCAGGTGCCCCAGGAACAGAAGAAAAATGTGTGTTTCTCCTCCCCTCCCCCCAATCTACAGAGGAAATTAAGAAATTTGTATAAGGTAACCCAGACACTTAAAAGTGGATCTGAATTCCAGCTTGCAGCCCTGAGTGTATGATTGCCCTCCTGCCTGTATACTTCCAGGCCCTACCAGGGGTAGGGAACCTTTTTTTGTGCCAAGGGCCATTAGATATTTATAACATGACTCGGGGCCGTACAAAATTATCAACTTAAAAATTAGTCTGCTATATTTGGTCAAACATTTAATGAACTTAACCCTAATGTCTTGGCAGAGCCAGGCCAAATGATTTCACAGGCCTACTCTCTCCTCTTCCCCCCCCCCCCACTCCCAGACATTCCCCATCCCTGCAGGGAGGACAGGTTTCCTGAGTGATGATAGAAAACTGCAGACCCAGTAACGAAAGACTTTCAAAATGAGGGCAGTTTTTATGGTGGATACATTGTCACATGAGGGAGAACAGCTGCCTATGGCTGACTGAGCCCCAGAATTGGAAGGTGCAGGGAGAGGTTAGAGAGCCAGTGATCCCAGCAAGCCAGTAACACAGCTACAGGTTGCGTCTGTGCACAGATACATTAATGTTCTCCTGCGTCTCCTTTTCCTTGACCTGTGGAGCACGGAAACTGACATGTCTGCTTGCAAACAAATTCACTTTTGCTCAGATCAAGGCTGGCACACACAGACCAGCTAGAAGGTTGATCAAGTTTCAGCTCCAACTCCCTAAGGCAGTGATTTTTACTTTTATTTATTTATTTTTGCCTTGTAATCATTTATTCGTTTATTATTAATATTGCTTTAATTCTTTATTGTTTAAAGTATTACATATAGTGTTACGTATGTTCCCCCCATCCCCCATTGACCTCTCCCCAGCCACCCCCATCCCCCTAGTGTCTGGTTCCATTGGTTATGCTTATACGCATGCATGCAAGTCCTTTGGTTGATCTCTTACCATCACCACCACCACCACTCCACCCAACCCCGCCTTCCCTCTGAAGTTTGACAGTCTGTTCAATGCTTCTCTGTCTTGATCTATTTTTGTTCACAAGTTTATGTTGTTCATTACATAAATGAACAACATCTCACTCACCACAAATGAGTGAGATCATGTGATATTTATATTTCTCTGACTGGCTTATTTCACTTAGCATAATGCTCTCTAAGTCCATCCATGCTGTTGCAAGTGATAAGAGTTCTTTCTTTTTTACAGCTGCATAGTATTCCATTGTGTAGATGTACCACAGATTTTTAATCCACTCATCTGCTAATGGGCACTTTGGCTATTTCCAAATCTTGGCCATTGTAAATTGTGCTGCTATGAACATAGAGGTTCATATGTCTTTTCTGATTGGAGTTTATGATTTCTTGGGGTATATTCCTAGAAGTGGTATTACTGGGTCAAATGGCAGTTCCATTTTTAACTTTTTTGAGGAAACTCCATACTGTTCTCCACAGTGGCTGAACCAGTCTGCATTCCCACCAACAGTGCATGAAGGTTCCTTTTTCTCTGCGTCCTCGCCAGCACTTGTTGTCAATTTGTTGATGATAGCCATTCTGACATGTGTGAAATGGCACCTCATTGTTGTTTTGATTTGCATCTCTGAGATGATTAGTGACTTTGAGCATGTTTTCATATGTTTCTTGGCCTTCTGTATGTCCACTTTCAAAAAATGTCTATTTAAGTCCTTTGCCTGTTTTTGATTGGATTATTTATCTTCCTTTTGCTAGGATGTATGAGTTTTCTACCAATTTTGGAGACTAGGCCTCTAGGGCAGTCATTTTTAACTGTTGTGCCCTAAGAAGTTTTAAAACGTGCAATACCTGACTAGTCAGAGGCACTGACCTCTTTTCCCTTATATTATCAATAAGATTTTAAAAATGACAACAGCCAGCATAAGAATAGCTATCTGTTATGAATGAATCAAAATTATACCTATTTTTTGTCAGATTGGCAAAAAATATATTTTTTGGTGTGCCACAGAATTTTATAATTAGTTTATGTGCCATGAGATGAAAATGGTTGAAAAGTCACTGCTCTGGGGCCTTTATTTGTGCTCTATACCCAAAGCTTGACTTTCGTTGTAAATTACTTGGCTAGGGGAAATGAAGATGTGGGTCAAGTAGAAAATATATAACCCAGGGAGTGGGGGAGCCTGTCTTTTAAGTGGTGATGCAGAAAGATGATGGTCCAAGCAGAAGTCTGGAACTTGTGACTTCATGGACTCTGCACTAAGGGATGGCATGATTTTTGTCACTTGCATTGACTGTGTGCATAGTTGCACTTGTTCCTGCCAGATTCTAGGCTGAGTGAAAGTCTAATCTCAGAGGAGACAAGCGCCACCTGCTGGAACCTCTTTCCAAACCTCCTCTCTCACTAATCCCTTTTTTTCATTCAGCCTCTCAGTCTTTAAAATAAAAAAAACACAGCCAAGACCGGGTTGGCTCAATGGATAGAGCATCGGCTTGGGAGCTGAAGGGTCCCGGGTTCGATTCCGGTCAAGGGCATGTACATTGGTTGCGGGCACATCCCCAGTAGGGGGTGTGCAAGAGGCAGCTGATCGATGACTCTCTCTCATCGATGTTTCTAACTCTCTATCTCTCTCCCTTCCTCTCTGTACAAAATCAATAAAATATATTTAAAAAAAAAACACAAACAAGCTTAATGGCAATGATGACCTAATAACAAATGAAAGTTTACTTACATAACTTATAAGAAATAAGCTACCTTCCTCTTTCTTCGCTGTTTTTTTTCCCCCCAAAAGGGAAGTGAGGAACAAAGAGAGACAGAAAATTTGTTCAAATGAAAACCTTCAGCTAAAGCCAGGTGGTAGTTTTGTGAGCTGTTTGTAAGGTGTAGCTGAATAAGTCTGTCAGACTGCAGTTGTAGTTCAGACCACAAATTGTGGTGATGCATTATATAGGACATAATATTTTTCTAAAAACAGACCACCAATTCTTTTTCAGAGGAAATAATGAAAGGTGAGGACATGCTTTTTTAACAAACATTCAGTTAAATATATTAAGTTAACCAAATCAATATAGCTTGCTTTACCTTCTACAGATTACTAAAGAATAAAGTCCTTGAGAGAGAGACCTGTTCATCTTTACTACTGCCTCTCCCCATTTCAAAATCTAGAGAAGTATGCTGTACACAATGAATATTTGTAAGTAAGCATTGTACAATAGACCAAGTATTCTACATGTTGTCATTTGTTGCTATAACTTTCAAATGAGGTATCTGAATAAAGGAGTTTTTCCTTAAAATGAAGGAGAATATTTGATCCTTGAAACTGATTTCAGTTATTTCTAAATATTCAAGAAACTCAACAAGCCATTTTTGTTGTCTTGCTTCTTCACTTTATTTTTTTCAATAAGATGGACATCTCTGTGTTTGTTTTTTTTAATACCCTTTTACTTCTTCTGAATAAGGTACCCTCTTCTTGCTCCACCCTCCCTACTCTATACAAATAGTCATCTGGGAGCAGCCATGGTACATTGACCAAACTGGCTGTCTTGGTTGGTCCAGAAATGGACTTCTAACAGATCACCCAGAGGATCCTGATGGTTTTCAGTCCCTAGATTCTGACCATTCCTGACTCATTTCTTTGGTTGCTATGAGATATCCAGTATATTTATAATACATTCTATTTTTTGCTTAAGTTAATTTTATTAATTTTTCTGTCAATGCAACCAAGAGTTCTAAATAACATATTCAATTTACCATATTTTGACCTTTATTTCCCCTTATTTTTCTATATAGGCTCATTTTGGAATGTCCAAAAAATCTTTTTTTTTTAATTTTCTCACATTTATTTATATCTCCAAGAATGGACAAACCTGTGAGCAAGACCTTCTGACCTACAAACTGAGTGTGAAACAACTGATTGTTGGTGCTAACAAAATTGATTCCACTGAGCTGCCTTATAAGCCACAAGAGATACAAGGAAATTGTAAAGAATTCAGCACCTACATTAAGAAAATTGTCCGTGACCCTAACACAGTAGCATTCATGCCAATTTCTGGTTGGAATGATGAGAACATGCTAGAGCCAAGTGCTAGCATGCCTTGGATGGAAAATCACCCGTAAAGATGGCAATGTCAGTGGAACCACGCTGCTTGAATTGCTTTCTATCACCAACTCGTCCAACTGACAAGCCCCTGTGTCTGCCCCTCCAGGATGTCTACAAAATCAGTGATGTTGATACTGTCCCTGTGGGCTGAGGGGAGACTGGTGTTCTCAAACCTGGCATGGTGCTCACCTTTATCTAGTAAACATTACACCTGAAGTAAATTCTGTTGAAATGCA